TATACACTATTTACAATTAGCCAGGTGATCTCCGAACCAATCTTGTCCCCCCACATGTGGAGAAAAAAGCGGGGCTTAGGAGATCCCTAAGCTTCTCCCTCAGCCACTTCAGTGGTATTTAAAACCAGCGGAGAATGAGTAAGAGCGCTACAGCCACAGACACTCATGACTTGAGTGGAGAATCTGGCCATTGCTAGAACTCCAAAAATATCCAAATTTACAAAAGGTCTCGTGGCCACTGCCGCTTTAACCTACGAAGGGGATTGTAGGGATGGGTGGTGCTTGAAAGGGATTGTATAACGGGTTTTGGGTGATGAAAAAGGTTCTGGTGAAATTTGGAAAATTTGGCTGGGATAAGATCAAGAATAAATGGGATATTAAGGTCATTATGCAGAGTTTTATTGGTTACATAGAAGGGAGCATCGACTATTGTACGGAACGGACTTTAGACTGAAAGGATTGAATGCATTTGTTGTAAGAAAATTTAGCTTTTCCCTGCAGTTCTAGTCCGTAAGTCCAGATGGGTTTCAGTATTGTCTTGTAGATCAGTGATTTGTTTTCACCAGAAAGTTTAGATTTTCCATTCAGTAGTATATAGCCTGTTAAGTTCCTGTCTTTTAAGTCTAGTATGTGGATTCCATGTTAGTCGTCTGTCTAAGAGAAAACCAAGATACCGGACTGTATCTGAGAATGGAAGCTGAATGGAGTTAAAATAAACTGATGGGCAGGTATTACGACTAATGGTGAAGGTAATGTGTTTACATTTAGATTCCTTTATCTTGATCCATTTCTTACACCAGTGTTCAATCAGGAAGAGGTGCCTTTGTAAGTTTGCGGACGCTGTTTCAGGATCTGAGTTGGAAGAAAGGGTGTCGTAAAAATAAGTTTACAGAAATATTTATTTTGGTGAATGTAACATAAATAATTAGGTGCGCAAATGATTTAGATTTTGAATTAGAATTATGATGATGATTTAGAATGCACAAACTACTCACCTGTAACCAGAGATAGGCAAATGCTCCTTTGAGTACCGAGTACCAAGTATATTACTCAAATTGTGAATTCAACCAATACTTCAGTTAATCGTTTGCCATTAAATGAAGTAGTAATTAAATTCACTGTTACTCGAAAAAGGTCCTCATTAGAGTAAAATACTCGGTATTTTTGATATGAATATATTGGAGTTCTGGCAACCAGATTCTCCTTTCTAGACACGAGTATATACATGACGATATCGCTCTTGCTCAATTTCCTGTGGCTATAAGTACCAGAGACGCGGTTATGAGAGTAGCGCAGGGATCTCCTGGAGTCCTACTTTCCCCTCTATTGGCGGAAGGACAAGTGGAAGTTTAGAGTTCCCTTGTGTGATTGTAAATAGTGTATATAGGTTTGTCAGTATTATTTTATTTAATTTATCATCAAGTTTATTTTATTTTTATTTATTGATTGTCCGTTTTAATTTAATTGTTACTTCTTTTTTATTTAATTTATTTATGTTCGTCTTGGTGTGAATAAATATGGTGTGAATGTACTCTTTCCGCTCTATAAGCAATGTCTATATTGTGTCAGACTGTTATACTACCCAATAAAAGAAAAAAGTCAACCCGCTGAGAGATAACAAGAACCTTGCAATTACGCTTGGTGTAGTCTAGTCTAGTATGACATAGAATGCATAAAGTGCACAAACTATGGCCCTATGCTCCAGCGGACTGCAGATAGATAGAGCACCGTAACCCAACCCTAACAAGGGATAAAAACCCGATCCCGGGGGGACCGCTCCAGCTAATTAATAGGGACAATTAAATTAATGACAAGAATTAAATTTGAGTAATTGCTCGAAGGTTACTCGAGACTCAGCTATCTCGGGAGATTGATCTCAGCTCCACTTTTTCACCGTTGGCATCCAGACATCTGCCGTTAATGAATTGTTCCTCTGGTCTGGATATTTCACTCCAACTGTCAACGCCCACCAAGTTCCTCGACGGCGGTCGGGTCTTTTATCTGAGGATGACTAAGGAAGAACAGGTTCTGTGTTGGTCTACGAAAATATATTGCTTTGTTTTATTAGATCGATGATTAATTCATAGGATTGTTCATATTTTTTTTATATATCTAAATTATTAATGAAAATTGTATACGAAAACAATATCTGTTATACAGTGTAAGAAATGTTATTCATAACTTGTGTGGTGGTGCCCTTAAACCTTCAAAACTTTGACACAGCATATACAATGTGGGGGTACAGATAGGCTTAACATTGTCATATTAAAACATAACTTTATGGATTTCAAAAAAAGAATTATTAGAATTTAGATAATGTATAATAATACAATTTATTATATATATGATATATAATAATATGTATTAATTATAACTAAAGTGATTGGGCATTCCAAAATACTATTGATTTTTTTTTTATTACACATTTTATTATTTATGATTTCTGTTTAATATTCCGGGTCAACATTTCATATCTTAAGAATATTCTTTAATAGAATTCATGAACAAATATACTATTTTAAAAAAAAATCTAGACTATTCTTATTTTAGCTATATTTATATAATAACATTTTAGATAAGTATCTTGCCATATAAATTCTTAAAGATTACTCATTTTTCAAGTCAATAAAATCTACGTCATGATACATTTAAAGGCATAACGGCCATTACCTTGCTCACTTCTCCATTTAAAAGAAAACCAGTCAGATTTCAGCTTAATTTTAGCCCCTTGTAGCTTGCTGCTAATACCCTTCCATTATTATTATTATTATTATTATTTATTACCCACACCCTTTTTAAATTTCCAATAATGATTTGAAAATATAAATATTGATTATCTATCATTATTTAATTTTTATTCAATTCATTTTATATTCTAATTATGTTATATATTTTTATCAAGAATTAAATTTTATTGTTGTATATAACATAATGGATTCCCATATTGTCGGAAGACAAGGAAGGGAAAGGGCCAAATAAATAAGTGTATTTATTATATCTGTGCAAAGTGAGTTTAAATTATTTTTACAATATAGTAGTCTCATAAATATTCTTGCTATGCAGATCGGATCTGTCATTTTTCAGTTTAATTGTTATTATTCATTGTAATCTTTTTTTTCAATAATGTTTCACTCAATCCTGTTGAACAAATCCGCTACCTAGGACTCCACTTGGATAAACGTGCTAGACTGAAACGACAAGAAACTGCTCAATGCTTCCGACTGCTTCAACACTTGCTAGACAAACGCTCCACACTTTCAATAAATTACAAAAGACTCATCTACATAACTACAATAAGACCTATATGGACATACGGACTTGAGCCTTACAATCCGAATTCCTTCGTAAAATCCCTAATGTCCCATGTTTTGTATCAAATAAAACCATTCATAAAGACCTTAATGTTCCATATGTCGCTGATTTAGCCCGAGCCAGATATATATGCCTTCGTGATAAACTCCAGTCCCATCCGAATCCACTTGTTTGCAGCCTTGCTTCTTCCTTGATTCCTGATAATCCTCTAGGCTTTCCTACTTAGACCTTCCTGAAACGGAGATGGCCTCGTGATCTTCTTACCTAGAATTATTTAGGGAGTGCTACCACTGGGTAGTATCTCTTTAAGTCTGTTCGTGTCATTGTTTCTAATTTGTGTATATTTACCTGTTGTATCTGTATACAGTTGTAAATTTCATTAAATAAACATTATATATATATACAGTCTGATAAATATTGTGTAACCAGTACGATTACTTACTTCCCTTCTGTAGTTAGTGCTTGCAAAATCCTATGTTTCTTCGGTACGTATGACATCCTAAAAACATCTTACATGACAACAGCCCTTCGAACTTGCAAACTGCAGCTCTCAAGAGTCATTACAAATGTTATTAACTTTAATGCTATTGCTGACAAGGAAGAACAATCAAATATTGGATCACTTGAGAAAATGTCCTAACGCGGACTGCTGTGAATCAAATAAATCATTCAATGAAAGAAATTTAGCATGTACAAGTACAAGCCTGAATAAAACACAGGAACTTGATCAGAACACGGCATTAGTCCATTTGATTCTGCTCATTTTAACAATAAATGGAAAATCATAAACAGGTCTATTTCAAAATTAGCAGAAACGAATTAAGCACAATATGGAAAATAAAAAATAAACAAGTATACAACTTGATATATTAATAGGATCCAATGTAAAGAAAAAACGCTGCAAATTGTTTCACAATGGTTTATTATCTCCAAACAATTATACATCTAAAGTAACATTACCATCCGAGTTACAAAGAAAAAAAAACAAAAGGTGATTCCAATTATTGGACTCAACTGTTTTTCTTTAATCATTAGTAATATGCTAAAAAGATAGCATTAGTTCATAAATGAAAATTTATTTATTACACATTTAAAATTTAAAAACCAAATCAAGGATATAACATTTGGAGTAGAACACATAAAAAAAAAAACGGAGACCATATCTTTGCTCCTAATAGTCCGATTTTAACGATTTTTTTTTTTTTTTTAGGAAATTTCGTAAACTTTTAAAAAACTATATACAATATCAACAAAAAAGTAAAAACTTTTCGGAGATTAACTTTAGAGTTATTTGGAATTTAATTTTACCATCCCTCGTAACTTTTTTTCCAGCTTCTTTTCGTTGAAGTATGTTATCTAGATAAATTTAAAGGGCGTCGAGAAAATGACTTTAGCGAAGTTTCATTGAAATCTGTACATTCGTTCCAGTAGTTTCGGAGAAAATGCGCGGACGGCGGACGGCGGACGGACAAAAAAATTTGTATTCGTTTTTCGAATTCTACGCGTCTTGAAACGTGAAACCTCAAAATATGAGAGAGGGTTATGTTTTTGAATTTTTTAGTCGATCACAATGTTTCATTATTGAAAATAATAAAACAAAATTGAAAGTGATACTTCTACCATCTGAGTACAGATTCCCAAGCTCGACAAATTCTCATATTCCGGCTTAAAACCCTGATGTAGGTCAGATGCTCGGGGTATTTCCACGGCGCGGAGGCGGCTCGCTGTTTGCCCAATGTCCAATATTGTGCCAGCAATATCTGCAGGAGGAGGGCCGCCTCCTATTGTGCCAACTTCCGCCAGATCTCGTTAAGACCGAAACCGGGAGCGGTGACTTTGGGCTCGAAGGTAGATATTGCAACCAGTCGTCGCCATCTCATTGCCGAATCCAATCTGAGAGTGTTGGTCAGTTTAGCAGACACCTTGGCACTTTATGCAAGCACGAGGCTCACCAAGCGTTTGTTAAAATGGATTCAACACAGTTTCTGAACATAAGGAAAAGAGACAGTTAATCATTTACTTTTTTTAAAGCTGCAAGCGTGTAGTATGAAAACTACATTCAAGCGAGCTGATGGATTTTCTTTCACAGCATTTAATCATTAATGTATTTTCAATGAAGAACTTACATGCCTATTTTCATATAACTGGGCTCGGATATTAAAATTCAGTGTCGATGATCAAACTATTCTTCCTCCATTATTATTTATGAATTGTTTACCTCTTCAGTACTTCATGTTGGTGGAAGAGAAAAAGCGACGTTTCACCAAAACGTGGTCTACATTTGTGATTCACAAGATGTATACATTTTCTAATCAATTATAAATTTGAAAAAAAAAAAATCATGTTCTTAAAATAATAGATTGAAATATTTTTTTATTTTAATATTTTATGCTATTTACACCTGCGCTGCAGTGCACCTAGCAAATTAGGCTGCAAGTTAATCAAGCTTGATTAACTTAATTTTGTTATTATTGTAGGAGTAGGTCCCTTGGTTATTTTCTTTTTAGTCAGAATCGTGCAGGTAACTGGGAGGACGAAAGAGACAGTGGGTTAGGATGATTGAGAGTAGAATAATGAAATAAAGTTTATTTGTTGTGTATGTTATATGAAATGTGTTATAGTGTTATTTGAAATGCAAGTAAGGTGCGTTGACAATTTTTCATAGAATTTTTTATTATGTTTTTTGTATTTTATTTATGTGTATTTGTTTTGCCGAATTCCAAAGTTCTACTTCGTATGTCCAAATCGGCCTCGTGGTGTTGTAGATCAGTCACTTCTTTTGTAAGTTAAGTGAGAATCATTAGTACAGAAGATGTGAGAGTTGGTTATATAGTCTATTTAGTCCTTGTCTTTTTAATTTAGTATGTATGTTCCAGGTAACTCTTTTGTCTAAGTAGATTCCGAGGTACCGTGCATAATTTTTTTAAGGCACTGGGTTATTGTCAATCGTTATGGTAGGACATGGGGCTTTCTGAAGGGAGAATATTAAATAATACTAATCGTAATATTAACTCAAAGAAAATTAGTACATAGATTTTTACTAATTTATTTTTTAAATAATTATTAAAAAAAAAAGCTCCTTAACCAATTATTTAATTAAGAGTACCCACTTTATAGAGGCTGGGTGTGCCCCATTAGGGTCTCTTGACGCAGGGTCGCCCCACGGCCAATGAAACAGATAAATAAATTTTCTGCCATGAGGCGGGGTTCGAACCTGGGATCTTTAGTATTGGAAACTCCCTACCACTGAGCTACCCCACTCCCTAAATAAATATAAATGCCTAGTAGAAACAATTTTACAATCACTTAAAATGATAATAAACAAACAGAATGATAATAAATTCCCAGATGTCAATTTTTTGCGATTGTAAATTAAAAAAATAATATATTACAAAAAATAGATATTAAGGGAAGATAATTTAGATAATCCTTGATGTTTATAATCTTAAAAACGGGATTTTTAGATTTTATTTATTAAATCTAGTAACATCAGATTTTATCATAAATTTAGACCATCTTTTGTAATATGAAATATCTAAGTTTAGCATAGCAGCATAGTTTTTGAGTTCCTTAGCAGGGGCTTTGATTGGATTAATTCAATGAACAGAAGGAATGCCTTATCAGGGCCTGAGGCAGAGATGGATTGGAATGAGCAGATCAACACTAAACCTCTAAATGGAGTCTGAGGTTGGAGATTCATTTAATTGCAATAGGAAGTCTATGAAGTAGAGATTAAATTGCGATATTTCAAATATAATTATATACTTTCTTAAACATTATTATTATTTATAATCCGTGGAACAGACTATATCTTTATTACAATCCACAGATTTTTTATCCGCTAAAATTCTCAGAAATGGGACGTTTACTCATTATATTAATTAATTAAATAAATTACTAAAAACATAAATACCCAATCGCTTTTCCCTTGAATTGTCAGATAATTTAATATAAAAAATATTTAAAAAACGAAAAAGAAGTTTGGCATAAAGGTCACGTCAAACGGCTCAATATTTTTGTATATCTTTTTTTTTCTAGATTTCATATTAAATTATTTTGCGATGCAAGTGGAAAACAAATGAGTGATCATGATTCCTTAGTACCTAATTAAATAGACGAAGTTTCTCAAACTCCTGGTTGAAAACGCCTTAATTCAGAGAATTTTCGTAAATACAAAAATTTTAGGTTACAATAAGATGAACCTATTCACGATGTTTTAGGCGGATGTCCATAATTTTATTAGTGTATATAGGTATGAATGTGTTTTATGCTTTTTACATTTCCTTATTTTTAACTTATTTTATTTTATTTATAGTTTATACTTTTTGATTATTATTTGGTTGTTATTTTACTTCTATTTATTTTATATTTTTTTATACACGTATATTGTGAATGTGATCTTACCTTCAATATAAGCAATGTCCAAGTGACAGGCTGTTGTAATATTCAATAAATAAAAAAAAAAATAATTTATTAAAAAAGATGCTGCACTGCGGGCTATTAAGAACTATTATTTAAAATATATTGACAAATTAAATTCAGTATACAGATTTTATAATGTTTTTTGTGCCTTTCGCTAAATATACCAACCACTCATAGCATATTAAAATATTATTTCCATTTTAGAGCTGTTTGGTTCTAAATGGCTTTGGAGATTATTCACATTAAAAATAGCTTACTTTAAAGTTCTATAGTATTAAAAAAACAAATAAATAAAAGTGATGTGGTTCTGAATAAACAACGATCATAAAATTAGGCGACTTACTTTATAAAACAGTCACAATAGAAAAAAAAAAAGTGGGATATTTATTGCCGAGCGAGGTGATAAGATAGTACAAGCGAAAACATTCAACACGGAACGGGGCTGATTATTTCGAATACTCGACCCACAAAAAACTCATTCGTGACAATGGCATTTGATCTCCATTCTTCTTTCAGTTGATTTCCTTTTGTTCACTGGTATCAGGAGGGCTCACGCGACCGGATACCATAGAGCTTTGTAAAAAGTGGCAAGTGATAACGGGAAAAAAGAAAAAAGAAAGGAAAAGAATTGCGACATTACTGCATGTGCACGTCCGTGTCGTGTATTTGTTTAATAAAATAAATTGAGACAGTCCACTGAGTCAGAGGAAGCAAATCGATACCGACAAAATGGATGAGTCATTTACAATAAAGGATAGTTGTGGACGGTATTCAAACATTTAATATTAAAGTACAAAACCCACCACAGCGAGTTCCATTGCTCCAATCACTGTCGCATTCATAGCAACATTAGTGTTGCCCAAAATCGTCCAAGACCGCTTGACTATTGCAAGACCAAGACTAAAACACGTTAAAAAAAATCGTTTTGTGAATAAAAATTAAGGTAAAATAGTTAGTAATACTCGACAATTTTAGTTACTATATGTAAATAATTGGTATAAATAATATACTTTTGCTTTTAACTGTTCCAATTTTTCATTTAGACTTAGTGAAGTTTCCTCTATTTAAAAAATTACAATAATATTCCTATAGTAATAGGCTAATAGATAGCTGCAGGACTGTGGAGCAAAACCAAGACTACGTGCAATAGACACATCATTAAACTACCTAAACTTGGTCCAATTAAAAACTTGTTATAAGTTGAAACTATGGAACTATAAAAAATAAATAATTCTAATCGATAAAAATAATGAGTTTTATAGTGTGATGATGACTGTGTTTTTAATTTATTATTAGATATTGAAATTATGATTACAAAGTCTAAACTCCTTCCCTCTATTTCAATCCAAGAGAAATAATTTAAATGCAGGAATTTATAATTGCATCATTCAAATAATGATGGATCAATATCCATTGGTCCTGGTCGAATCCCAAAGCTGATAAAAGTTTCTTGGGTATGTCCGTCGTTCAGAAACTGTCCCATCCATGGTAGGGTCCAACTGAAGTTAAACGAAGCGTATTAGGGGAATATTTCCTAACCAAATACATTATCCAATACCTTTCATGGATTCAAGTTTGGGTTGAGTGGAATACAACACCGAAATAACATTTCAACTGTTAATTATCATATACCTTAAATTTGGGGTTTCCAAAGTATAATAGGGTTATCACAGGTGAAACAGGAGAAAGCTTCAGATGTCCGCAAACACGCATAAAACTCATGGGCGAAAAATCTTTTGAACGCGTTCAGTGTGGAAAAACATTTTTTTCAAAAGTATGTTGTTGAATGTATAATTATAAGGTGAATAAAAATGATCTACAATGAATAATAGCGGTAGTGATAATGGAAGCAATCAGTTTTGAAGAGGACTTACAAATCAAGTTAAGCTCCGTCAAGCTTACCTATATTTACAGAAATTTAAGTTTAGTTTTAGTTTTCTCATAGATGCTCTTGTTGCGTGAAACTGATAAACTTTTGATTTGGAATTTTAAAAATCTATTGATTTCAGAAAAAAAATTATTATAATTCACCTCGTTCTGTTTGATAAATACAGTTATGGAAATGGTTTTACCCTCTTTTATTCTTATTAAAGACAAACATGTATTAATATCTTATATTACATTTAATCTCTTTCTCTCTCTCTGTTATATAAAAAAGTTTTTATTGTATGTCATATGTTATGACATACATTTAATCCTTTATTTCATATATAACATCATATATTTACCCCTAATGCTGTTGTTGGTATTATTTAATGTTTAATTGTATATATTACAGCAATATAAATATTAAAATTTGTATATATAAGGGTACCTATACAAATAAACATATCCAAAATCAAATATAAATCAATAAAGAGTTTATAATTTTTACTTTCACTTCCCCTTTGTCTCAAAATACTTATTTCTGTTAATATGTGGGTGGATATGTTTGTATTTAATTTATTTATAATCTCTCTCTCTCTCTCTCTCTCTCTATCTCTCTCTCTCTATATATATATATATATATATATATATATATATATATATATATATATATATATATATATACACATACCTTTTGTTTCTCCTTCTAATCCGCTGTTTGAAT